AATATCCCGAATTCGTAACAATAAAGAAGATTACCTTTAGTTACTCCTGCAAACTTATTATTGGTCACGCGTTTGAAACTTTCTACTGCCCGTTGAAAACTTTCAAGTCTAGTAGTTAGTCTGCCGATGACACTTTCAATCTATTTACGAGGAAAAAAATGAATATTTAGTTGACACTCATTTGCCACGACATTCACAAAGAACAGCCTGGGATTGTTGCATCCATCTTGTTGTAAATTTATGCAGAACGATAACACATAAATCTCATATCATATTAATCAAATCTGAGTTGATACCATTTCCTGTGGGCATGTTTAACTTTCCATTTTTATTTATCCACAACAAATCTTACATCCTGCTGAGTGGCCAAAGCTTTCCATTGAGATCTTTCTTTGAAATACATTTCCCTGTCATCAGATCGATAGGAGAGAAGTCCTTCTATCTTTGGGAGTTTGTTCATTGATTGAGCATCAGGAACCACTGCAACCTGCATAAAATTTTGGAGAACTGCGTGAACTACACTAAACCAACACTAGGCAAAAAGACTCAAGTCATATTCATGCTGTAACCATCAATTTACCCCATCATTGATTGTGACATCTTCACCATAGGAACAAGGACCCTACGCAAATAGTAAAGTGATATTATAAACAATATGAACAAGAAGAAGAATGTTTATCAACCTTCTGGTCTTACAAACTTGTGATTTAATTGTAAAAATGCAATTTGATTTAGTCAAACCAATCTCTCGTACCTTGTATATCCGTACCTCGGAAAAATGTTTTATAATCTTATACCTTTTTTCGTAATCCATCTTCCACACGCCATGTTTCCAATTTCCCTGCATTGTTTCTTTCTTTAAACTCCATGCATTTTTTCCAAACACGTTTTGGTAAAGATGAACGAATCCAAAACCAAACTGTGATATTGTCCTCTTTCTTCAAAACCGTCCCGCCATTGATTGCTTGACATCTTGGAGCACAGTAATCCTTCTTACTGTCAGCACAAAACAAGCACAACACTGAAATGGAAATATTTCAATTTTGCAACATTGTAAATCTTCTTCTTGTTAGAGACTTTTATCGAATATACCTCTCCGTGATCACAGCCAATGAATGATGTTTGATTGTCCTGAATACCGGAACGTTCAGACAAAACACCGTAGCTATATCATGTAAGAAAGAATGAAGAGGCTCTTTATATTAGCATTGTACAGTAGTTCCTTATCATAATTACAACATAATTACAGATCATAATTACAACATAGCCCTTTATCAAAAAGGCGCATTGTGAATGTTATGTATGTGTTGCTATTTCATAGCACAGGCTGCCCACGCCTGCCTCTCTAAGCATAGGGCAGTGGGGCAGCTACCATTTCCCCGCCGTGGCTTTGGCACCCTTACCTGACTTTCTTAATACCCTCCTAACCTGTTTACAATGCCCATGACAAAGCAAATAATGCAAGACGACGTAATAATATTTATAATCACCTGTACGAGCCTGATGTATCAATATGATAATTCAAAATATATGCAAAACCATCCGTGCAATCTTGTTTAAAACATTGGTTCATTTTACTCTGTTGAAATAAAATGAGGTTAGTTTCGTTTTTTGGAACTCCACGAGTTCCACTTTTGGGCGACGTTTCGAGTGGTCATGAAATATTTGACAACTTATGAGGGTTTAGCTCGATCAGGATTTCAACAATTTTAATACCCATCCTAGTCCAGGTGACATTGCACCTCCGAATCGCGAACATTTAAAATTTCTTGTCGCAATCTCTCCAGTCATGAGATCTTTAACGAAGGCGACATCACCAATGCCTGGGTATTGATGACTGCATCCTCCTTTGTTGGACATGAGCAACTCCGATAGAACACGAGGGGATTTGAAACGATAATACCTTGGAAATACAAAGAATACAGTAGCGTGAGCCGTGTGAAAAAAAGCTTTATCCGCTGGGGAAAACGAGACAAAGAACAGCATTTTTAACAACACCAATTTACGTACCAGTGTGCTCGTGTATCGCGAAAATCTTTAGAGGTGGAAATCTGAACTCGGAAATCCAAGATTTCTTGCTCACCAAATGCACTTGACCACATTGGCTTACCGTGGGGGTGGATGAAAGAAGCGTTGGAAGGAATAGCCCAGGTTTCTGGTGTGTCTTTGACGCCAATCAACGAGAACCCACCTCTGTCCGTTTCAACATCGCACCATGACTAAATCAATAAAGTAGTTTTGTAATTTGTAATTTTCTAACCTCTTTCTTGGAAAAAGCAGTGTGAATGTCTTTAAAAGAAAAAAAACCTTACCTTTTGTGGACCATTTTGTGTCTGGATCCAGTAAGGTCCGCTTTTTGCTTTTGGAACATTGTCCACAACACCAGAACAATCTTTCGCTGGATCAAAATAGTTGCCATAGGAATGACCTGAACAATAACAGCGTGGTGATACAGCACAATTCACATCGATAAAAGGAAAAACATTATTCAGCAAAAGCTTCAACGATAATACAAGTTCTGGTATGAAGACTTGAACTTTTTCCCATCATAATATCAGAATAAATACCATTGATCATGTCCCACTGATATTTTCCATCGTGTTGAACACAAGCCACAATTTTATCATCATCATTGTTATCTTTCACAACCACAAACTTTCCTCGCTTATCTGCGGTGCAAATTCCAGGATCGTATGGGTTGACCTGTTGTTGCTACAATAAGATGGAAGTACATTAATAAAGCACCCGTGATTCACAGTTGATGAACAGTGACTGAACTATGTTGTTACAATTATTATAAGTTGTAGCATTTTCGAAAGGCATGTTCGTGGGCTACCTTGGGGTATTAAGATCTTTTATTGTCGTCGTTTCCTATAACTATACTTTAAGACGAGAGAGGGGAAAGGTCACAATTGTAGTGTTGAAAGACTTTTTCAGTGTTGAAAGAATCTTTTTGTAATTGTAACTAATTACACTGCCATGCAACTATGCTAGCACTTCAGTCGTCTGTTCTTCTAAAGACCCCTTTTAAACCACTACCTGCCAATCACAGATGATGATTGAAAACAGGCAAATGAAAGCATTATCAAGATGTTACATCATTTGCGCGCAACTCTGCTTGATCATGATTGCGAATAGATCCTAGCTAAGTTATGGCAACTAAAGTTTAGCGCTCTCTATCGTATCGACTCAAATTTTAGATATTTTCTGTTTGGATTCTAGCCTAGTTTTATGAAGCGTCGCGTGATTATCCCTCCACTAGGTTGACCTACAAACTTGATAGACGATAAAAAAAAAGTTTTGCGAAATATAAAACAGTATATACTCCAATAACGCTGAACATAATCAGCACAACCCAGTGGAACCTAGGAACTGCGATATTTCAAACGCAGAATGATTGTTTTTAGGCCTTTCAGTTTCAACAAATGACGCAAAATACGACTGACTCACTTCCGATATCGTCTTCGAATGATTATAAAATACCTTGCTATACTTTAGTACTCTAAATTTAGCGCTCTCTATCGTATCGACTCAAATTTTAGATATTTCTGTTTGGATTCTTAGCCCAGTTTTATGAAGCGTCGCGTGATCATCCCCCTCCTATATTATATTTATTATATTTATTATATTTATTAGGTTGACCTATAAACATGATAGACAATAAAAAAATAGAAAATACGTTACTATAGTCTTACTTCCGATATCGTCTTAGAATGATTATAAAATACTTTGTTTATACTTTAGTATACTTACATTCACAGCATGAAGCGTTGTAAAGAGGGTTAACACTAAAACTGCCGCCAACAAACTCATTTCAAGCTGCTTCAGAATGTGGCTTTTTACCCTTGCTAAATATTTCCTCAAATGACGGGACTGTAAAATCAGGATATCGAATTTCTATTGTCGAGGTGTAAGTTGATATAAACACTTGATGATGGATCTATGCAGAAATTTCATTGACGTACGCAAGTCCCGCTGAAATTGTATGCAGTCAATTTAAGGAAAAGGTTTGCGCGTCAACAGGATATATCTTTCATACATATGGTATGTGAATGACAAAGTTAATTGAGAGGCATGAGAGCTCTTGATTGAGCCAAAAAACGAGTTCAAGATATTTTCTGGTTTTGCCGCAGATATTACTGTCTTCTTTGGCGAATTCAAAGCGTTATGCAATTCAAAACACTATCGTTTTTTCAACTCTAGTTTCACTCTTATCGTACAATCCTCCTACAGCAAACTTTGTGTCGTCTTTCACTGTCAGTTATATAGTCGCTAGTTTTATTTTACCTCTACAAGATGTAGTCGTTCATCAACAGACGAATATTGGCGTAAATCATAGAAGCTTCAATTCTGGGAATTTGACATTGCTATAGTATGATCCAAAGAAGCGTGAAGTCTGATGCAATTTTCCTGCGTGGTCAATCATGGTAGTTATTAAAAAGAAATACCCCAGATATTAATTGCGACCCAAAAATGTCTATTTATAGATCAAGATAATATTTCCGTTTCATCTTCATGCATGTTACAAGAAATTCCGCATGTGCCGCTGTCCATCTAAATCAAAGATTCATGAAAAGTGCTTGCAATATACTAGAACTAGTGCAAAGTTACAACCTTTTAAATCTATATACTAGTGATAATAAGCAAAGTTACAGCCTTTTAAATCTATATACTAGTGATAATAAGGAAAGTTACAACCTTTTAAATCTATATACTAGTGATAATAAGGAAAGTTACAACCTTTTAAATCTATATACTAGTGATAATAAGCAAAGTTACAGCCTTTTAAATCTATATACTAGTGATAATAAGCAAAGTTACAACCTTTTAAATCTATATACTAGTGATAATAAGGCAAAGTTACAACCTTTTAAATCTATATACTAGTGATAATAAGCAAAGTTACAACCTTTCAAATCTATATACTAGTGATAATAAGAACATCAGTTAATTGGCTTTGACAAAAGGAAAGTAATCAAATCCAAGATGTGTTTGTTCAGTTAACGGACCAGTATGTATCCCATTGCTTTAATATTCTTTTCTCCGTTGTCTGATGAACACGTACCAACATTGCCGGCGGCGTTAAGAGAAGGTCCAGGGAGGCAATACCTAAACTGCTCATCAGCACCCAGGCCTAGGAAAGAGTCGGGAGAGTTGCACTCATTTTGCTCGTTTCCAAGGATGCCAAACCGAAGTATTCCATCATAATTGGAAGGGTTCACGTTAAATCCTTCTTTATTGCAATTATGCTGTAAAGATGATCCTTGGATGAGCTGTTTCCATTGAGAGCGACCGACGTGAGTTTGACGATACCTGCCGTCAGCGATCAGAGAATACAAGGACGAGGCTGGGTACGAGAAAGAGATGGCTCTTAGTTGACTACCATGTTTCATCGCGACACAAATTTCATTGAATGACGTTTTCCAATATGCTGATCCTTTGAACTCTCGCTTGTCAAAACCTCCGTTTCTTCCATCGTCATTGTCATTGTAAGTGGTCTTGGACGACCAATAACCAGAACTGTATCCAAAGGTACTCTATAAAGAGATTGAAAGAAACTCGTATGGATATAATTACTAAGAATAAACCTCAAACTGGGCAACTCTAACCTTGCTTCCATCAATTTTCATCACCATCGTCCACCCACCACCAGAACAACCTGAGACTGACGACATCTGACAGTAGACGCTTTCCACTTGGTTCGAACCAACACTGATTTCGTAAACACCACTTGCGGTATTATTGCTTCAAGACAAAATATAATCTGTTCAACTTTTATCAATAATGCAAAACCTATGTTTATATACATAAAATGAAGTGCAAAATATAGGAATTTACTGATTTAGCAATGGAGTAATTTTTGAAAATGATAAGCGAAGGATAGCTACGATTGTGGTAGACGCTTCCCGGCCGATTTTCCAATTATCATAACACATACCTTTGACTATCAAATATTTCCTTGCATGATTTAAATTCTGCAACACATTTAGAAATGGAAACAACAAGTGGAATTATATAATAAATAATTAAAAGAATACTTTAAAACAAGGATCTGAATTTTAACCCACATTAAGATGTTTGTTTGCATGCATGTGTGAATATCTTTTATATTCTCATCAATTCTTCGCCGATTTTCTCAGCTACTCTCCAAACGTGTGGAAAACAAGACCAAAAGTTTAGACATTTCATGAAATTTCTTTATTGGCGTTTCCAAAAGGTAGTCACATCTCAAATTGCATGTGGCATTTCGTTCAAGACCTATATACGCCTGAACAAGATTGAACTCAAGCAATTATAGGAGCCAAAAATTGTTTTGCCAATGGTAAACTTGCCCGTTTTACCGAAATTCTTAAGAGTGAGGTTTGTTCATGGTTGAATCAGAGTTCTTTACCTTTGCATGTCAGCCTTTGAACATCTTAAAACGAAAAAAAGAATATTATTAGGTGTATTCTACAGGATGTTCATACGCGTTGATCGCGCGATTGCGCTATTTTCTGCGTGTCTATAATTATGGTTAGCAATCACCCATTACCTTTTTTGATCTTTGTAAGATCATGGCTGATTTTTATAATAGCATTGTTGATGCTTGTAAGACCATCTTCAATCTGCTTGCGTTTTAATTCATTCAGATATTGCTTTCCAAGAATGTCCTTCTAAAAAGAAGGCACAACAAAAACAATCTCTTTGGAGAGCCGGTTGTGCATTTACTAAATTTAAAATAACTGATCTGTTATACTATTTTTACAATTATAACAAATTAAATCCCCACAAAACGCATTTAATCTTTTAATCCTCACAATATCAATATTGTACATAATTATTAAACATGGCGCATGAAGCGTTGTGATAAGACAGAATGCTGTAATTACTGCCGCAAATCTCATGGTTGAGTCAATCTTCGTCTGGTACTGTGTATAAAGCTTCCTTAATTGTCTTCTTCAGTCTCACTCCAAATGACAAGACTTGCTTTTCACATCAACATTTAAAGGGTGGTGCTGCAACATGTGTATTATTTCATAAATTGCATTGACGCGTAATGTTTTTGCGTTGTTTCACAACATCCCCCCACTATAAACATTCGACAATAAAAAAATTAAAAAGACGTTTGCGAAATATAAAACAGTGTATACTCCAATAACGCTGAACATAATCAACACAATCCAGTGGAACCTACGAGCTTTGTTATTTCAAACACAGGATGGTTGTTTTAGGCCTTTCAGTTTTACCTCCGATATCGTCTTCGAATGATTATAAATACCTTGTTTATACTAGTACTTACATTCTCAGCATGTAGAGTTGTAAAGAGGGTTAACACTAAAACTGTCGCTAACATTTTCATTTTAAACTGCTTCAGATCGGAATGTGGCTTCTTACCCTTGCTAAATATTTCTTCAAATGACGGGATTTGTGAAATCAGGGTATCGAATTTGTATTGTCGAGGTGTAAGTTGATATGGGCGCGGGATTTAATCTGTGCCGAAATTTCATTGGCGTACCGCTAGCCCCGCGCTGAAATTGTATTTACTCAATTTATCATTTTGCACTCTCGAACGGAAAAGAATGATTGATTGAACCGCACTGAATGTAATTAATTGGAATTGCCCTTGACTTGACAGGATATATATTTCATAAATGTTGTGTGGGAGTGATAGAGTTCATTAATTGATAGCTCTTGATTTAGTCAATAAACGAGTTCAATTGTCTTCTTCGACGAATTCAAAACGTTAACTCTTATCGTATAATCCATCTAGTGCAAACTTTGTGTCTTCTTTCACTGCCAGTTAGTTGCCTAGTCGTAATTTACGTCTACGATATCTGGTCGTTCATCAACGGACAAATATTTGGTAAATCATAGAAGCTCCTGGTTACCGTAAAACTTTTCTGGCAAACGCCCTGGCACAATGCAAAAGCCGAAAAACAAAATTGAAATATTGAAATAAAAAACCCAATAGAAAATAAGTTGGCGAATTGTTGGCGAATTGTTATCAAATTCCACCGAAATTCTGTAAAATGTTTGTTGAAATCAGTTATAAGTCGGGCAATTTGTTCTCGAGAGTTGAGTAATTTGGCTCAAATTATTCGCGTGCCCCCCCTGACAATTTCGCACGGTGAATTTCGCATGGTAAATATTACGAAAAAGTCAGAAAACGTCACAAATGTCCATTGTTTGCAAAAAGTTGTTTATTTCTAGATCAACGAGCCAGATAACATGGCATTAATATTTCAGTTTTATCCTCAAGTTACAAGATGAGATTATACGTGCAGGTGTAAACGATGTCCCAGGCTATATGAACTAAAGATTTAGAAAAAAGGAATCAAAATGCTAAATTCAGTGCGAGAATGACAAGCTTTTACTTCTCTACTAGTTATACTCAAAATTTCAGTTAATTGCCATTGACGAAAGGTATTAATCAAATCCGAGCGTTGTACATTTAACGGACCAGTATGTATCCCATTGCTTTCAAGTTCTTGTCTCCGTTGTCTGATGAACACGAAGCAACATTGCCAGCGGTGTTATAAGGAGATAGATACTTCCCACAAACATACGGCCGTTCGTTAGAACCCAGGCCTATGGAAGAGTCAGGGCTGCGGCAGTTATTCTCCTGGTTTGCAATGATTCCCAACCGAACCTTAACAGTGGCTCCGCCATAGAACACGTTGAGTCCCTCCCTATTGCAATTACGCTGTAAAGATGATCCAAAGATCAGCTTTTTCCATCGCAAGCGGCCAATGTTAGTTTCTTTATACCTGCCGTCTGCGATTAGATCATACAAGGACGATGATGGATACAAGAAGGACAAGGCCTTAAGTTGACCACCATATTTCATCGCGACACAAATTTCATTGAATGAAACTTTCCAATATGCTGATCCTTTATACTCTCGGCCGTCAAAACCTCCGTTTCTTCCATAGTTATTGTCATGGTAAGTGTTTTTGTTCGACCAATAACTGGAACTGTATCTGAAAGTACTCTAAATAGATACGTAGACTTTTATCCTCCACCCCCCCCCCCCCTTTAAACCTAGACCAAAAATCAGTTTTGACCTTCAGACCTACAAGTTTTTATAATTACATCATAAAGGGCTAGTTAACAATGGTGGTCTTTGAGCGAGCTAAGTGCATGTGAACAATCGTAAGACTTTGAGATCGATCCAAGTCGACCAACTTGACTGACATGGCCCTTGCTCGATACAAATTGACTGACATGGCTCTTGAAGGAATTTTTATAACTACTGAAGTGGTTAACTAGGTTTCAAGGGTTTACTAGTTTACAATATTATAGGATAACAATATCTTGAGATGGAATATAAAAGGTCAACCCATTGTTTCAGACACCACTTGCAGGGCAATAGTGCAATAGTTCGTAATTAAGACCTACTTTACAGATGGCGTACACCCACCCGGCTTGTGAGGAAAACTAGGCTGCTTTGCATAATTATAACGCCTGCGAAATTGACCTCTGTTACAAACAAGATCGATCTCAGATCGATCAATCTTACAGTGAGTTAAGTTTGAACAGGCCCATTCTTACCTTGCTTCCATCAATTTTCATCACCATCGCCCATCCTCCACCAGAACAACCTGAGACTGACGACATCTGACAGTAGACGTTCATCACTTGATTTCGTCCAACGCTGATTTGGTAAACACCACTACCACGGTTGCTAGCAGATATAACAAAATATGTCTTTAACACTGAGATATTCGTTTTATAAAATTAATATTTCATAAACAACCAAGAACCTGATGTGAATGAACTTGGAACTAATGGAAGACTTTTTGTATTTAGTTACAATACCTTTGACTCATCCATATTTGTTTGCACGATGAATGAGTCAGCACTTTCACATCTTAAAAGAGCAAAAGATCACCATCCTATAAACGCCTTTTAAACCGTGATCATCCCGAATTCGTAACAATAAAAAGATTACCTTTAGTTACGCTTGCAAATTTAGTATTGGTCACGCGTTTGAAACTTTCAAGTCTACCGATGACACCTTCAATCTTTTAAAGAGAATAAAATGAAACATTAGGTTGCCGGAACATAACACTTTAGCTATGAGTGACATATTAATATTTTTCTACTGCATTCACAAAGAACAGCCTGGAATTTTTGCATCCATCTTGCATTTGATTGCATTGTTATTTTTCGACAAATCTTACCTTTTTCTGAGTTGCCAAAGCTTTCCACTGAGATCTTTCTTTGAGGTAAATCTTTTGGTCATCAGAGCTATAGGAGAGAAGACCTTCCATCTTTGGGAGTTTGTTCATTGATCGAGCATCAGGAACCACTGCAACCTGCAAAAAAATCCAGACATGACATGTATAAATTCACTTGTCCAAAAAAGTCCGGTCAGAGCGGAATAATGATTCCAGACTCCCAGGCACAGGATTTGGGATTCCTTAGTTGACAAGCGAAGATTAAATTACATTTATACCGTAAAAAATATTTTACCCCATCATTAATTGTGACATCTTCATCATGTGAGCACGGACCCTGTAAATAAGCAATGAAACACAACATTCGCTGGATGGAGAGCTATTGTGAATAACCTCATATCTGGAATAGCTGTTATTATGTTTCGTTTGCATTCTTTAAATCACAGATCATACCTCTCTCTTTACTCCACCTTCCACACGCCATGTTTCCAATTTCCCTGCATTGTTTCTTTCTTTAAACTCCATGCATTTTTTCCAAACACGTTTTGGTAAAGAGGAACGAATCCAAAACCAAACTGTGATATTGTCCTCTTTCTTCAAAACCGTCCCGCCATTGATTGCTTGACATCTTGGAGCGCAGTAATCCTTCTTACTATCAGGACCAAAACAAGCACAACACTAAAATGGAAAATATTTCCGTGTTGCAACACTGTATGCAAGTCTTGTTAGAGCCCTATCGAATATACCTCTCCGTGATCACAGCCAATAAATGATGTTTGATTGTCCTGAATTCCGGAACGTTCAGACACAACACTGTAGCTATATCATGTAAGAAAAGTGAAGAAGTTCTATAGACTTATAGCGTTGCGTCATAGAGCCTAACTTTGGGAAGGCTGAAAAAACCGCTGAATAAATCAAACAAGACGAACATAATTATTTATAATCACCTGTACGAGCCTGATGTATCGACATGATAATTAGAAATATAGGCAAAACCCTTTTGACAAGCTTGCTTAAAACATCGGTTCATCTTATTCTGTTGGACAAAGTGAGGTTAGTGTCTTTTCTTGTCGAAAGACCTCCATTGGTTGCATTTTTGGTATTGTTGAATATCAGTAATTTTACACACCCATCCTAGTCCAGGCGCAATTGAAGCACCAAATCGCGAACATTTGAAGTTTTTGGTTGGTATCTTTCCAGTCATGAGGTCTTTAACGAAGGCAACTTTACCAATTCCTGGGTATCGATGACTGCATCCTCCTTTGTTGGACATTAGCAATTTCGAGAGCTTGCGGGGGATTTGAAACGATAATACCTTGAAAATATAGGGAGAAACCTTGGTCACTTTGAAACATGAACCGTTGTAGGCTATTTAGAACAGCATCAGGGTGGCTCAACGAAAAACGAGACGACAAGAACAGCATTTGAAATAACAACGATTTACTTACCAGTGTGCTCGTGTATCGCGAAAATCTTCTGACATGGAAATTTGAACTCGGAAATCCAAGATTTCTTGCTCACCAAATGCACTTGACCACCTTGGCTTACCGTGGGGGTGGATGAAAGAAGCGTTGGAAGGAATAGCCCAGGTTTCTGGTGTGTCTTTGACGCCAATCAACAAGAATCCTCCACCGTCTGTTTCAACATCGCACCATGACTAAAATCAATCAGTTGTTTACTAGTTTTCTAACTTTTTCGTGATTGATATCAATGTGAATGTCTAAATAAACAAAAATAAAGTAGCCACTTTATTAACCCTACCTTTTGCGGACCATTTCGTGTCTGAATCCAGTAAACTCCACTTTTCGCTTTTGGAACATTGTCCACAATACCAGAACAATCTTTCGCCGGATCAAAATAGTTGCCATAGGAGTGACCTGAACAATAATAGCGTGGTGATCCAGTTAACTCTGTTGTTTTCCATTTGAGCATATGTTATATAAAATATATAAATACCATTCATCGTTTCCCATTGATATTTTCCATCGTGTTGAACACAAGCCAGGATTTTATCATCATCATTGTAATCTTTCACAACCACAAACTTTCCTCGTTTTTCTGCGGTGCAAAGACCAGGATCGTATGGGTTGACCTGTTGTGTTAATAGTTATTACTTAATATTCTTGTAATTTTGCATGGTGACATCAAATAAGCAAATTAGCTTGTAGGTACACCACAAATTAATTCATTTTGCACTGATGAAGGCCCAGGTTAACGGACCGAAAGCTTTGCAGTGGATTAAATACTTACGTGGTGTACCTACAAGCTAATTTACTTACTTAGTTAATACTTTAACACAATTCCTGTTTTACTTAAGTCGAGAGTTACAAAATAACCTTTACCATAATGAGCATGTCAAGGTGGCTGATGTAATAGAATATTTCTATGTATTTTACTGTCAACAATGACCGATTTCAATACAGAAATAAAGACAAATTTACATTCGGACTATTTCTTATCAGTGAAAATGACTTGTTCACGATCATATCAACTAAATGGAAACCAGACTTATGTCTAACCAGGCTTTGGGGTTTCCATGCGCCCGCATTCTTTGTATATTCGTTCCTGCTCCGCAGTGTATAAGCCTGCATGCTATGTTCTATGCCGCGAAAATTCCTAAGATTTGCATATTCAAATTAGCTTGAAAATTGAAATTAAGCTTGTTATGATATTCTGGCGAACAAAGACGAATTACAAAATAGAAAGATTATAAGAAAGACTGTCTTCAAATTCGTTTTCGGCAGTTTGGATGTGTCTACTGTCCATAGAAGAGGATTGTATGCGGCCTAATTTTGTATTCCTGCATTTTGGAAAGTCGCTAATAGTTAGTACATTGCCTTAAATTTTTAATGCAAGATGTCTCCGTGTCTGTAGAGATTACACTAATATAACCCAGTGTCTTCAAAAGGAAAGGTAAATCAAATTAGAACTTTATTTTCGAACTGGAATACACGTATTTAATTATCACTAGTAAAGTACCATGCAAAAAGGCGAGCTAGTTTGCCCTTTTTATTTCTATCAGTTTATATTGTTCTAGCTTTGTGTTCATTGATGCATCCGCAATCATATAGGAAAGTTTCGCAGGCTCATTGCTCAAAATATTTGCAATGAAGCGATGACCCTATGAAAAATCATCTCTTGTTGATACCGTGTCGTATATTTTGACCCTACCGGAAAAAAAACTTTTTCATACTTCCAGGTCACTCTATCAGCTCTAAAACGAATAATTAATTAGATGTATGAACTTAACTAAATAATAAGTTGTTTCAGGCATAGTCGATGCACTTCTACAATTCTACTTATATATAAATGACCCGAAGTTACGCGGTATCACTTTGACTTAGAGGTTTGACGAAAGCATGCAAGTCTGAAAAACAAAGGTGCAACGCTTTGCTTCGCTAAAATAATAATCCCACATGCAAACAATCTAGCATATAGTTATATAAGCGTCCAAACCCTTCAATTGCAAGAATGAGAAGTACCAAGGAAACTTTACATAAGATTACGAGCACATAAAATCGACTAAGCACAAGCCATAACAGTATTTGTCCATGCATGTTTGAACGTTTCAGCCATGAAAATCTGTTTGACTAATGATCAGGGAATAAATATATAAATTGATTCGATACAATGATTAACGTATTTTATACGCGTGCACAAATTAGTGAAGTAATAAACTTATGTGTACTTACAGCACAAAGGCTTGACACAAAAGTTGTGGCAAGCACAGCTGACAGCAACCTCATTTTTATTTCAACTTCTTTAATCGAAAAAAGTTAGTCTTCACTCTTGCTAAAACTCACCGCAAATAAGAAAAATTACTCAACGATCAATTATATCCATGCATTACAATAGATGTTTGACGAATTTGTTTTGCTGAAGCAAGATTATTCGTGTTAGGTAAACAATAGTGCACTTATCACGTCAAAACGCATTTGCCAGATATGGTATATTTTGTTACTTTTTTAATAGTGCAATGGACATTTGCATCGTTTTTATTCAATGAAGCGCTTTTGTAAATAAAATACAAGGAATTAAAGTGAATTAAAGTGAAGGTGACTTTTTAGCTTAAGCAGACAACACAATATGATACGTCTTTCAAGTTGGCAGAGCATCCGTTTCCTGGTGGGAATTTAATGTAGCAAGGAAGATATAATAAGCATGTTGCAACCCACCAAATTGAATTAATAGATTTTTAATTACAATAGGACCGCACAAAAGAGATTATGTACTGTGTCTTCAGAAAGAATGTTCACATGATTTTACTGCCTCAAAACTTTATTCTTATACACTAAAGTGTGAATAAAATCCCAACTCATGGAATGGAGTTTTTCATGCTCTTCACGGGTTATATGTGACATATATCAGCGATTTATCAAAGAAAGCAGGATTCATCGTTTAGTAAATATTTAAAATATTTAAATGACCACCTCCAGAGTGCGTAGATTGTCTAATCTAAAGTTAAAAACAGCCCAGGAAATGACTTACTTGCAAGGTATTCAAAAAATTATTGCTTAATTTTCGCATCGTATACAGTCATGCTTCACCTTGTCTTCTTCCTTGCCGGCGCCCCTGAGCGTGGTAAATCTCTCCCCAATGACGCTGTAAAGATGATCGATGGGGATAAACTGTTTTCATCGTCGGTGATCAAAGCAATTCTGGCAATCTTTACATTTACCAACCATCACTGACGAGTAGGCATGGTTAAGAATCATATAAGAGGAAGAATTAAGGGTCTGTAAAATTTCATTTTTGCAAACAAACATACATGCTATACCCGACGAATTTTTTTTCAAACCAATAATCATATCCAACTATACCAGAAAAAACAACACTGCTGTACACTAATCATAATATGAATACTCGTTCCTTATACTATAACTATAAGCTTGTAAGTAAAAATCAAATGGAAAAAGTTTTGCTTAACGGACGAGAATGTATCCCATTGCTCTGGCGTTCTTATCTCCGTTGTCTGCTCCACATTTACCAACGTTACCAGCGGTGTTAAGAGGAGCTTGTTTTAAACCACAATATGGAAAATTACCATCACCTCCAAAGCCGACGAAAGAGTCTGGGGAACTACAGCGATTTTGCTGATTTGCGGCTAAGCCCAACCGAACTCTTACATATCTTGTGCCAAAATACATATTAAATCCTTCTTTATTGCAATGGTGCTGTAAAGATGATCCATGGATGAGCTGTTTCCATTGAGAGCGGCCAACGTGAGTCTGACGATACCTGCCGTCAGCGATCAGATCATACAAGGACGATGCTGGATACGAGAAAGAGAAGGCTCTGAGTTGACCACCATATTTCATCGCGACACAAATCTCATTGAATGAAGTTTTCCAATATGTTGATCCTTTGAATTCTCGGTTGTCAAAACCTCCGTTTCTTCCATCGTCATCGTCGTTGTACGTGGTGTTGTCTGTCCAATAACTGGAACTGTATCTGAAAGTACTCTAAAATAAATTCGTTAAAATTATCCTTCACAACTCCACTAAACTTATACGAATAACGAGAACTGCAACTAAAATGCCCTAAAAAGATACGTTAACCTTAAGTAGACTGCATCATCATATAGTCATCTATAATAGTTTCCACGGTAATTCTCACCTGGTTTCCATCAATTTTCATCACCATCGTCCACCCACCACCAGAACAATTTGAGACTGACGACATCTGACAGTAAACTTTCATTACTTGATTTTGTCCAACGCTGATTTGATAAACACCACTACCAGGGTTGCTAGCAGATATAACAAAACATACTTTAACGCTGAGATTTTCGTTTTTCGGGATCCACTTTGCATAAATTTTCTTCATTAACAAGCATGAACCTGATTTGAATGAACTAAAGGAAGTTATACTATACCTTTGATTCCTTATTTGCTCGCAGGATGCATAAGTCAGCACTTCCACATATTTAAAATGCAAAAAAGTGGCGCTGTTTATGAACACTACTGCGCTATTTTGAAGACTATTTTATGGGGGGTGGAGATATTTGTCAAATTGAACAGATATTACGTATATTTATATAGTTTTGCGACAAAATTTTGTATTGCAATAATACTCAAGCACTGCTGTGTGTAGAACACACTTTTTAGAACTGCACATTGCTGTTGCATGATCACAATTTCTTACTGCCTTGATTAAATTATCAAGTACAAGTGCCCGCATGTCGTACCTGCTTCTTGCGGTTTTGTTGCCTGTGGCTTTGGACTGGATGGAACACGATTTGTTGGCTTCTAGAAATACATAAACATATCTCATATTTTCACAGTACAGAGAGAATAAGCGAGGTCAATAATCGGTTTATTATATGGCTGAACTGCATGAGACATCCGGGATACTGGTCCAGATACGGAATATACGGAACGCGGTCCGTGTTTTACGCTTGTCAACCAATCAGAATACAGGATTTTGAAAGCTATATAATAAATCATTATCACATGGTTGATGGTTCATCTACACTTCATCAAATTTCACGTCACTCATTTTTGAGCAATGATTATATTACTTAATTAAGGATTGTTTTTTTATATGCACACACATGCAGTTTAAACAGATATGAACTTACTTCATCTGATTTTACAAGTTTATAGTGGTCAAAGCTTGCATTTTTTATTAAATTTCTTTTTGGTTCCTCTGAGTAGGACGTTTTGAGTAATTCACAATTTGGTTCTTCAGGAGACTTTGTGTTTTTTTGAAGTTTACAGATCTGCACGAGTCTCCATCCTTGTAACATTCAGTGATGCAATCTTTTTCAGAATCTACGTGAATATGCCTGATTCTTGATGCATTACAGTCGAGGCGATGATCTTTGAAATAGAAAAAATTACGTAGCAAATAGTTGTGGCTCCAACACTCATAAATTATTTCATCGAAGTTTACAGACAAAGACCTGTCATTTGAAACGGAGGGGGCTTGTAGGAGAATCTCGAAATATTTAAAACCTTTTGGGTCCCCCAGAGACCCACTTATCACATAATGCAATTTTCAAAACCCCCAGTTTAATTGAAAAAAATTTAACTCCTCCCCCCCTTCACCTTTGACCGCTCTCTTATGCATAATAATTATATAAACCAGTATTACAGGTTTGGCAACACATTTTAATTATGCACATTATATGCGGTAGTATACGCATTATATAAGACTAAAGTACCCGTGAATTTTGGCCTACAGGAACTCGATTTTATATTTTTTGGCGCACTGGAAGTGTAACGTGCTTCACTTCCTTATTTTTTTAACACCTTTCAGTCCTGACTTCTATATACAATCTATATTCTAAAGCGTTTGCTTCCATGCAGTGCTCATGTAGTATATAGTTACGTCAGTTTAACAGCGCAACAACAATTACTATTAGTCTATTAACGTTATTAATATACTGAATATAGTTAGATGTAGATACGTTCCAATATAACCAGGGAGCAGCGTGGCAGCATTTTTATTAAACAACTTCGCATCAAATGTGGCATAACAACTGCCTAAAATAAACAGAAAAGCTTTTCGACGTTTCGACCCAAGGGCGTTCGTTTGGAGAGTAATATGATATATAGCCATACGAACTTTCTTGACGAATTCCCTTCACGACGAGAGAAGTGTTTTTGTCTAATTTTGTCAGTCTTTATGCCACATTTGATGCGATACTGACATACTGCATGTATAGAGTTAGTTAAATTCGTCGCTTGTACAAAACACACCTTTCTTTGAAAGATCGAAACAAACGCCGATCTGTTCTCCAAAAGTTTCAGCATTCAAAATTGCCACAATCCATAAACCTAAAAGAATATGAACTGAACGCGGCATCCAGCCTTTGCAAGATGAAAGGAAAACTGCTTCAGCCATCTTTTTGAACAGGTGCAATGTGATGTGCCACTTATACTTTTAGCAAAACAATGGATACGTTTTCAATGCCTGCCGGGATGTATACAGAACAGCAGTTATTTTCCAGCAGTAATGCTGATATATTGTGACATGCACGATTATAATGCAATAAAGTTCTAAAGACGAGCGTCGGACTGACGAATGCCGCATTCGAATAAATAAATTTGCTGAATTTAGGGAGCGTCGTTTTTGTTTTATAGGTGCATTTTCTCTAAGTATTTGTTGACTTTAGCTACTTTTCTTTATACACAATTTAAATTAATGCCATGTCGCAATGTTGATGAAAAGCGATATAAAAAGTAGCAACCCACTGCAAGTATTTATGGGAAATGCTTCCGCCGATCGCTTGAACGACAAATGTTATTTATCGGCAACAAAAAAGACATGCAGACCTAATTGGTACTGACATAGGTTCAACGTAGTGGCTCCTAAAGTGTTGCGGTCCATCGGTTTATCTCTAATTAGAACGTTTTCAGTGCCCTTTGATAAGTGATATTAGAAAATGTTTATTAGAGTTAGTATAATTAGGATATGCGCTTCAATTTAAACATATATTTAGAATTGATTACAGACCCAAAGTTAACGAACGAGTCAGGCCAAGTTAGTTGGTCAAAGTCCAAATATCATCAAACACCTGCATGCATGAGAAGCATGCAACGCAGCCTGTTGACCAATCAAAAGACAAAATAATTTTCATCTTTATTTATTATGTTTACATTAGGGTCTTCGGAGGTCTATTACTTCTGCCTTCGTTTTTAATAATTAAAATTGTATATACTGTGTATATCTTCAGATCAGTGATGATGAAACTTGGCACGTCAGAGCAGGGAAGGGGCTTATTTCACATGCCGTAAATTTTTACATTGTGCTAGTTTGCTCACGAAGGCCGGTTAAGAATACGGCACTAAATCCAATAACAGTAGAAAACCTTTTATGTATTAAATAGCTGTACAAGGAATTATATTTGCAATATGAGAGGCCTAAGGGTTGATTGTAATGCATAACAATATAGTGGGAATATTAACCGAACTTTCAGATCGCTATATTACAATCATACTTGGAATAAGAGTAGTCTTAGAATAAGAGAGTGTTACTGTCATGTAAGAGAAATCAGCATTGCAATATTACTATTGTATTTAAAAGATACATACAAGATGAAATTCTATATTTGTGCAGGTGATCACGGTGGAGCTTTATGAAAAGTGCCTACAATATGCTACAGGCAATATAGGTGTTGGTAAAATATAATAACTACAGTAAGGCAAAGTATGACAACCAGAATGCTGGCATATAACAAGTGTACATATAATTTCAGTCGCATATTCTAGCTACAACGTAAAATTTACGTGCAAGGCGGCAAAGATGCAAAGGTAATATTCCAAATTTAATACATTTCACCCTGATGTTATTATTTATACTAACTTGAGGTGGTGGCAAAGAAGTTTTTTTAACGGACCAGTACGTATCCCATTGCCCTGAGGTTCTTGACTCCGTTGTCTGGTGAACACATGGCAACATTGCCAGCGGCGTTAAAAGAATGTGCTCTGGAAGTGCAGTGCTGTGCATAACGTCCTTTACCCCAGGCCGATGAAAGAGTCAGGAGTGTGGCAATCACTTTCCTGATTTGCAATGATGCCTAATCGAACTGTCAAATATACAGAGTTCCCAAAGTTAACGTTGAACCCTTGTTTGTTGCAATTACGCTGTAAAGATGATCCATGGATGAGCTGTTTCCATTTTGAGCGGCCAACGTGAGTTTGTCGATAATTACCGTCAGCGAACAGATCATACAAGGACGATGCTGGATACGAGAAAGAAAGGGCTCTGAGTTGACCACCATATTTCATCGCGACACAAATCTCATTGAATGACGTTTTCCAATATGCTGATCCTTTATATTGTCTGTTGTCAAAACCTCCCTTTCTTCCATAGTCATCGTCATTGTATGTGGTCTTGGACGACCAATAACCGGAGCTGTAGTCGAAAGTACTCTAAAATAGATCCGAAATATAGGTGAAACTGTCCTACACTCCGTATTCAAACCTATACATATGACATCAAATAGTCTCTTCCACGGTAATTCTCACCTGGCTCCCATCAATTTTCATCACCATCGTCCATCCTCCACCAGAACAACCTGAGACTGACGACATCCGACAGTAGACGTTCATCACATGATTTCGTCCAACGCTCATTTGGTAAACACCACTAGCAAGGTTGCTAGCAGATGTAACAAAATATATTTTTAACGCTGAGATATTCGCTTTTTAAAATTAATATTTCACAAACAATTTCCCAGGAACCTGATGTGCATGAACTTGGAACTGAAAGAAGACTTTATATATTTAGTTACAATACCTTTGACTCATCCATATTTGTTTGCAGGATGAATGAGTCAGCACTTTTACATCTTAAAGGAACAAAAAATACATCATTAGATCATGGTCCAAAAATAGCCTTTTAAACCCTGAATATCCCGAATTCGTAACAATAAAGAAGATTACCTTTAGTTACTCCTGCAAACTTATTATTGGTCACGCGTTTGAAACTTTCTACTGCCCGTTGAAAACTTTCAAGTCTAGTAGTTAGTCTGCCGATGACACTTTCAATCTATTTACGAGGAAAAAAAATGAATATTTAGTTGACACTCATTTGCCACGACATTCACAAAGAACAGCCTGGGATTGTTGCATCCATCTTGTTGTAAATTTATGCAGAACGATAACACATAAATCTCATATCATATTAATCAAATC